CTTATTATGCATGCCACAAAACTGGACACACAGTTTACTATACTCTGAGATTTTCATACTACAGAGAATCGCAAACCTACTCTAACATGTACACTAACTCCCACTTGCCAAAGGCTCTCTGTAAAGCTGAGGGCAGTGAGAGAAAAAGAATGGTTATTTAACCATTTAACCAGTAAATGTGGGTATTCAAAATGTTTTGTCCACAGGGATCCCACTCTAGGTGCACATGTGCCCCATGCATTCCAGATAAAAGTCTTTGGCCAGCAGCATCCATTGGGGCCCCATCTGCATATCCTCTCACCCCTACTCATCTGCACCCAAGGGCATTAAGTGTAGAGCAAGCCCAACTGTCCTTCAATTCCTTTGCCAATACAGTATCCTGGGTTCTCAAACTTCATTGCATCCCAACCCCTTTCAACAAAAATTATTACATAACTCGGGGGGGGGGGGTGGGAACAAAGCCTGAGTCCACCCAAGCCCCGCCACATCCGGGGAGGAAGGGGGGGAAAAGCCAAAGCCCGAGCCCCACCACTCAGGGCAGTGAGGCTCAGGCTTAGGCTTCAGCCCTGGGTGATGGGGCTCCGGCTTCAGCTTTGGCCCCAGCAAGTCTAACGTCACCTATGGCAACCCCATTAAAACAGGGTCGCGATCCACTTTGGGGTCCTGACCCACAGTTTGAGAACCACTGCGGTATCCCAAAGCTAAAAGACTCTTCAGTGGCAAGGAAGTATGAGTTGGATTAGCCTGCCCTCTAGACCTGTCACCAAATGCTACTAATAGCCTTGGTGACTTATGGAAAAGCTTTGTTCTTTGGAACAAATAGTAGAGTGGAGGATTACCATCAAGACACTGAGCGTGTGAAGTTTTGTTTCTACAGAGATCAAATGGGATTTGGAGAAAAACTCTGGAAAATATATATATATTGATTCAAATGACACCACTTTAGGTAAGAATTTAGGATGGTGAGTCCTCAGAGACACCTTGTTTTTGTGAAAATAGCATAGGGAGGTCCTGCCCTTAACACTTGAATCACACTCACCCTTTGAGCAGAGGTAACAAAAATGCTTCCTTGATAAAGAGGTGGTAAAGGAGCATGACGGTAAAGGCTCAAAAGGAGGAGATCTATTAGGGCCAGGAGTACAATATTTAGGTTCCCAGGAGGGGAAATGTCCCTCGTTGGGGGGAAAATACATGGATCAGACCTTTCAAGAACTTAGATATAATTGAATGTGGGAATATGTAAACCTTGAAACGGAGGGCAACAGGCAGATACCCTGGCTACACAAACCCTACCCAAGCTAAATTAAAGTCCTAAATGTTTCAAGGGTAATAGATAATCCAGAACAACAGGATTAGATGTCGCTAACGGTTAAAGGTCATGCTGTGCAGCCCAGAGCAAAAATAGTGGGAAAAGCATTTAGAATGCCCATCACTTGAGGACACTGCCAGCTCACCAGAAGGGCAGGACTTGAAGGACAGTGACTTTGCCTCAGCCATGAGATCAATGCCACTGTATCAATGATCCTAGGGGTTTTCTATTTTATTTTTATTTTTTGTCAGCAGGCTAAATTAAAAAAAATGTTAAGTACTAAACTAACTAAACTCTGACAGAAGGAAGCAGGTGGGCACTGCTAAATTCTGTCTTGCTGCCATGACTGGTAAGAAGAATTCCATCTTACATGCATGGGCGTGCATGCACATCTAGAGTGGGATCCATGTGGACAAATATTTGAAGAACAATTATTTTTATTACTCCCGAAGTTTTCAAAGAAAATACAGGATTTGTTACTAAGAGTAAAAAAGGTAAATCATCATACAGAAGAAAAGTAATAATCTTTGCCTTGCCTTCCCTTCTACTTCCTCAGTACAAAGATGGTAGTCTAGATTCTCTGGTGTGTCTAACTGCCATTGAGTGTATCCTCATTCTCTGCCTCACCTCACCTCAGCCCCTCTCGCATAAAGCAAGCTCAGGAGTGCTCTAATGAGCAGCACCTGGCTTTGTGCATTGCTATTCTGTACCCATGAAAGTTCACAGACTCAGGGGCTGGGGTAAGGTAATATATGAGCCAGCTCTGCTAGCTTTACACTCACTGAGGACTCCCCCATGTTATGGAATCCTCCAGCTGAGTGTTTGCAATCAGTCTCCACTCCATTTGTACTGTCAGGTGGTGAAAAGGGAGCACAGTGGAGCAAAGAAATTGCTGAAGAGCCTAAATCAGTCAGAATAAATAAGGGGAGAATGGGGAGAGAATGTAAATTAGTACCTACCTGTAAATAACAGGGAGAAACATATCTCTGTATAGTAGATACTGTTAAGCAAGTTAGAGGGACACGGCAATGTCTGATAGGTAAATTTAGTTGCCTGTATATTGCAACAAAACTATCACTCACTCGGGTAATTTTTCCACATTCTGCCTATATATGTAGATTCTACCTCAGAGAAATAATTGAAATGCAGAAATGATAAGGTAGGAAAAATTCTATTGCCCAGAACAAACCAGATCTCATTGCAACATGGAAGTTGAAGGGACTTCTCAATTACAATAATCTGAGTTTCCACTAACGTTATTAAAATAGAAATAAGTAAATCTTACAACTTCAGCATTTAGCAAGCAGCTCTTAAAACTTGGTTAGACCAACAAAATACTTTCGAAGACTTCATGCAATTGTGTACAATTCTATTACTTTTACAAAGATTCTAGCTCTGCTAAATTAAAATATAGAAAGAGTACTGCAGATAGGTGCGGATTTATTTTTTAGTTCATCACATAACTCAGAAGCAATTCTTAACAAAAGCTCACAAGGAGCAGAATACTTAGGGATCAAATAATAATTCTATTGTATAGAAAAACAATTTTTTTAAATAATAATGATAGGACTTGATAATCTTCTTCCTGACTTTTCTAGTGCTGACAAGAGGGTGAGAGGAGTAACTGTCCCAGACTACAAAGGAACAGTTCGTTTTTTCTAAATTAGTATAACAGAAAAAAGAAACTAAAAATGCTTCTGTCATACTAAAAATATTACATATAAATTGTATATAAAAATGTTTGCTGATACGACAGCAAATATAAAGAAATTCAGAATGAAAACAGTTCACAGGATATAAAACATGATAAACTCTAAATTAGATTTTAAAAAAGTAAGGCATTCCCCAGGGGTATGTGAATGGTCAACAGTCACAAACTAGATTATCTTGTTTTAAACAGGTATAAAACAAGCAACTTCAGTTTCTAGTAATCGGTTTCTCAGTCTTTATGAATACAAACAGAACAGGCAACTCGTGAATCCCTACCATGCTGTAAAACCCAACGTTTTATAATCCATACAGGCATACTGAAATTATAATTTTCAATAACATACAATTAATTTAATAATCAAAATGGCATTATAAGAATGAGATTATACTTTAATTTAAAAAACAGTTTAAGCAAGGCTTGAGTATTTTTCATAAGCAATTCAGTGTACAGTTAAAGATCATCAAAGTTTATGAGCTCAAAATATGATCTACTTTTTTCCCTTGCATCTCTGTGAGAAATCCATATTATTCTTTTGTAAGGTTTTTATCTTCTTTTTATCTTCCCAAAGCAAATATTTCATTTGCTTCATTGGTAATTCTTTTTATAAAAAAACAAAAAAACAAAACAAAACAATGCCAGCAGCACAGCAGTTGTGACATGCCCTATATAATAAACTGGTGTATATGCACAACGAAGGACAAGGAATTGGTAAGTATTAAAAAGACTACTACACAAATTTTAAATTTCAGCCATTTAGAGAATTCACAAACAACAAAAATTGTTGACAATATAATTTTTTAAACAATACAAGTTGTTAGAAACTTAGTTCTTTGTAGTTTAGCTCTAAAAAGTACACAGCACAAAAGAGAGATTTCTAACTGGAGTTTTAATACTATCACACAAGAAAAATGATGAAACATCATTACAATTTTTACTGAAACCCTAAACTCATAGGCATATGGCCCATTCTACACCACAGACTAATCATGCTAGCAACAATTGTTACTAAGATGGTTCCCTGCTCAGTATAAAGAAAGATTATTTTTTTCCTGAAAGCCATATCATAACGGTTTCAGAGGAACAGCCGTGTTAGTCTGTATTCGCAAAAAGAAAAGGAGTACTAGTGGCACCTTAGAGACTAACCAATTTATTTGAGCATAAGCTTTCGTGAGCTACAGCTATTCCAACAACATGGAAATATGTTTTAGGTAAACCAGTGAAGGAAGCCAGGCTACCAAAATTGGCCATTAGCATGGTTTCAGCCTACTATGAACAGAGCCTCAGAAGCGAGCTGCCTCTCCATCATGCCGAGGTATTCTAGAGTATAAGATTTATTATTCTAAGATACCTGCTAATAGCCACAAGGTCTTGTCAAGAGGAAGAGTGAAGATGAGACAAATTAAGCTCTGAAATAAGATGTACACACCTCATTTTAACTGGACGGCATTCGCTGCAATATTCAGTGATCAAACTAAATTAACTGGTTAAAAAAATTATTAAAACTTGTAATTGAGGGCCTGATCCTGCAATCCTCAGTTAGGCAAAACTATTGATTTCAAGGGACTTCAGCGCAAGTAAGGACTACAAGGTCTGGTCCTTATGTATTTATTGTCGAACATTCCTAAGTTGCCCCTGCTGCCTGTAGCTGGCAATTCTAGGCATAACGAATCTGCATGTTAGTTTTCACAGCTTTTTCAAACCATCCAGATAGTGTGTAACCTTTTACATACCCTTCTATACTAGCACAGTTGCTCATCAATAAGTTCATAATGCTGACTACTCCATATGAAACAGGCATGGAAAACTCTTTCTGGAATAATTTTAAGGGATCCTAAACTCAATACTGGATTTAGTCAAGTGCATACAAGTAGCATTCCAAGTGCCATTCCAGAACCAAGGCTAAGAGCTAAAGCTAGAGTTATGATGAAAAAAATGTAACTCATAAATAACCAATACTCTATGTGATTTTCTCATCCTTACCTGCTGAGCTAAGCAGAACACTGAAGTCCGTTCCCCTCTGAGATTCTCCACTTTCATTTTGTGCCTCTTTCTCAGCATCTTCACCTTCATAACGGTTCCAGTTGGAGACTATCTTTCTTTTTGAATAGCCTCTCAGTTCATCCTTTTTCTCTTCTTGTGATTCAGCATCATCATCATCTGCCTGTGACATTTAAATGATGATATAAATAAGTAAGATTCATCCAGCATTTAGCTTTTATACAAACATCTCCTGGATCCTCCAACCAAAATATTAAAGCCTGCACATACAAATAGGAAGTGGCGGATCTAATTTTGGGTTATGGGATCATGACATGGTAGCGGTCAAAAGCCACTGCGATATACCATGTTGCCAATAACAGGAAATGTTTATATATGCACGCTCCACTATTTTGTATGAGCTTTAGGTAAATTACCTTTTCCCTCTTCTTAATCCCAAAGCAACAAATAAAAACTCTAAAACAAGTTTAGGGAACTACCTCTTTTTTTGGTGATGTGGTGCCAGATCTGCATTGCTAGGAGCTAGTGCACAGCTATGATTTCAATAAAATAAAGATCCAAAATCCACCTGCCACGCTAATTGAGGAGAAGCCACCTGACCAATTCCTCTAGATTGAATGGTTTGCTATGGGCAAGCAAATGTTTTGGACTGAAATACCCAATACATAATCCAATCTAATCCCCACTATTTACAGATGAGGAGACACATTTCAACAGTAAACCATACTTGGGCATGCTTTAGTAAGGTATTATTGCATTTTTTGGTTGGCTGATGGCCCTTGGCCAAATACACCCAACACACCAAATACAAATTGCCTTTACTATTGTTGCTTTTCACTTTAATAAAGAATCTTCCAAAATTCAGACAAGGCAGACCCACCTAAGCCAACTCTGGCACCATAATTAGCTACCATACACAGAGCTGTCTGTACCATTTGTTCCTGTCAAGCCATGATCAAAATACGACCCTATGCTTCTTACTTCAGCCATGCCAGTTTTCAGAAAACTAGCATGGATTTAATTTCAGCTGAAATGCTGAGATAACTCCAAATGAGATTCTATTTTTCAGGGTCTTTTTCCATCAGCTACATTAAATACCAAAGCTCAAATAAGCAGGGCACTGAAGTTAAAATTTCATTTTGAGCTTTAAGAAATAAATCACAAAATTATCATAGCGTTAATCGGAATTGTGCAGCCTAATTCTCTAGGTACAAGGCTGAAATTTACCTTTGAATGGATAAACTTTAAAAAAATATAAATTTAGACCATTTGCAATTCCAATATAGTGCTTCACAGAAGTAAATAATACATATAATAATATACACAAATAATATATTGGCATAGTCTAAAAAAGGTTCTGCCACTAATTACGTTTACAAATTCAAATTACAAATTACTTAAATGTATATTTTTATCTTCAAAACTACTATTGATTTTATCAAATACATATATTTTTAAACATTCCTTTTTTTGCATAGTGAAGCTTTAGAGACTAAATTTCCTTACTATTTCTGCATGGTGGCTATTTTTCACCATTAGTACAGTAACTACCTAAGACATACATCCGTACATATAAACCTCTTTCTTTCCACTTCACACTTTGTTCTCATCTACCTATTCAGAGTGACTTTTTTGCTACCTTTGGCATCATAACATTGAAATGAGAAATTATTTTTACTTTGGTAGCAAGAAGACATCAGTATTAAATGTGGCCCCTAAATATACCACAATATCCAATAATCATACAAGTTAAAACAAAACCTAAGAACTACCTTAAAAGGTCAACTTTTAAATAATGTGACCTTAAATAAGCAAACAAAAAATTTTATCTTTACCCTTTTTTAAAGCAATATCTCCAAATAGCTGCAACTTTAAAGGGTCACTATCAGCTTGACATCTAGTCAGTTTGAAAAATGAATTTAAAGTAGTTTCAATACCACATTTTCCCCCAAGTCTCCAGTCAATTTCATGGGATGTTTTTTAATTACATTTCCCTTTTTTTTTTTTTAATTTTCACTCATTTACTGTGTTAAAGACACACACAAAAATAGGAAAAACTAAATGAATGTACAAAGTTATCAAATGTAAACGTAACAAAAACAGAAAAAAAATATTTCTCTCTCTAATCTCAGTAGAAGCAAGTTTACGTGTTAATTTAACAAAAATAGGAAGTAAAATTCAGACAGAAGAGTGATTTTTTATTTTACAGCGTTCCTTTAACTTGTTAAAAAATATTATCATGAATATGTAGCTTGACAATGATGTTGGTCTTCAACCAAGAATGCTACTATTTATCCCCAAGACAGATATAGGGGTTGTGTATACAAACACTTTGTAGCAAGCTGGGATGTAAATCTACCTGATACTAGGTTGCAGGACACTAAATGCGCTTTAATCCACTCCTGTTTCAAAGCAGGAGTCTTTCTAGGGCTACGTCTACACTGGCAATTGAACGACAAACCTTTCCCTCCCCCTGAAAGACAAACGTTTTGCCGCAACAAGCACCAGTGTGAACAGCAGGTTGTCGGCAGGAGAACTCTCCTGCCAACAACAGAAATGCCGCTCGTTAGGGGTGGAAGTTTTTTGTTGGCAGGAGAGCCGTCAAACAGCGGCTACACTGCACACCTTTTAGCGGCACGGCTGTAGCGACACAGCCCTGTCGTTAACAGCTGTGTAGTGTAGACATAGCCTGAGGAAGCCTTTGCGATTTTGCAGCTGGGATTGGGTGAGGAATGGTATGAAAAAAACTAGTCACGCAATCCCAGGAGATAAAGCAGAAAATTAGGCTATTCTCTACAGGCAGCGGTTATGGCAGACGAACAAAACAAAACAAAACTACATCCTGCCCCTTTAAGGACTAAGTCATGTCAACAAAGCTCTCCAAAGGTCTGTACATGGGGGATGAAAATGAGCCAGGTTTGCCTCAGGCTCATCAACTGCACAAGAGCTTGTGCTATTTCAGAGCCCCCTTGCCCAAGAGCATCTTTCACTTCCCCTCAGACCCCATCATCCTGCTCCCTTTTGGAAGAGATTAGTGTCACTGATTCCCCACCTCTGATCCCAACCTACTCCTTTGCAAATCCCTATGAAAGGGCCAGGCAGCTGTGGACAATTTGTAGCAAAGCAGGATAACTCTTCCCACATTTCCCAGGATACAGACACCCCTTCACACACAGATTTTGCACAATGAGTTGGAAAGGTATAGCGGCTGAGAGGAAAGCAAAAACAGTACCAGACATTTGGTTCAGCCACTTTCTTACAGACAAGTTGATGCTGATACCTATGCTTCAAGAATGAGGGCCCTAAAATGAATGGAATACGGTTTTCAACTGGACAATTCCCTGGAATCAGCACTCTCCTCTTGACTGGAGCCTAAGTATTGAGTTTTGGCTCAAACCATGAGCTAAAAGGAATGGAGAAAATATAACAGCAATCCATAACATCCTGCCTGTACTCAACCACTCACTAAGGGTGAGTCTTGGCACACTTGGCATGTACACATACACTCACACTCAACAAACACTGTGAATTCAAGGCTTTTTAATACAACTCTAAAAATTAAAGAAAGAGAGATCTTCCAAATGGAATACATTATTTTAAATAGTTGTATCTGATAACCAAGAGAAGTTGTCATAGTTCCTCTTAAAATCCTCTTTATATTATCCTACTGAGAGAAGACTGAAGCATTTTATCTGTCTTTCTAGGTACTTATATGTTCCCCGCTCTTCCATTGTAGCTTGAGTATATTTCCATTTTCTCTTTTTCAGGGCATTTCTGTTCTTCCTCCCTATTATATTGCTGATATACTTTACTTTGTCCTTCTCTTGCTTCTTTTATACCCTATAGTACTTTTTCCTCATTTTCTTTTCCAACTTTTGCAATATATAAGTACTGTAACTCATTTTATGCTTTTCCTCTTCTGACTTCCCTCTACCTGCTTTCAGTACTATCTCTATATACTCATCTCGTGTATCATCATCTTTCCCTATTTTGTGCAATTATTACCTCCTTAAAACTCCTTGCAACCACATTCATCATATGCTACTTTTTTCATTGGCCCTGCAATTGCTCTGTACTGAACTTTAAATATTATGCCCATCAGAAAGTTTCAGGTTTCCTTAATCCTTTTCTCTTTATTTTGCCCAGTTATAAGGCATTGTTAGTCTGGATTTTCCAGTGGTAACAATTCTATCCATCCACAAACACGCATAGATTGCATGACGTAATTAGCCATAGAGTTACCCAGACAAAAGGTTTACAAACTGGATTCCTATTGAATATTATGTATATAGCACTGTGCTAATAAACTTTACATGTATTTATAGAAAGTGATTCAAAATAGGTGCAATTTGCTACACAAAGAACACGTTGCCCCATAGAACTTACAATATAAAAACATCTGTCTCAATAAATACAATACAAATACAATATATTGTTGTCTCACTGTTCCCTTGTACTTCCCCGTCTATCTGTCTGTATCCATCTGATGTCTCTTATCTTATACTTCAACTGTAATATCTTTGGGCAGGGGCCAAATTTCTTTTCTGTATTTCTACAGTACCTAGCACAATAGGGTCCTGGGTCCATGACTAGGGCTCCTAGGCACTATGATAATACTAACAATAATAAAACACTAACAACACAGAAAGTGGCTTATGATCTTAATACTTGTAATGTTTCATGGAATAAAATGGGCATTCAGAAGCTTTTATGAAGAAAGCCAAGTAGGGAAGTTGGTTTGTATTAATTGAGTGGCTGCTCTAAGCATGAACAGAAACACAAGAGGTACATTAATAGCACAGCAACTTAAATTCCTCTTGGGAAGCCATATAAGATTTTAATTTAGTGCACCAAATTCATTCCTGGCATATTGATAGTGAGATTAATGGGGTTGCATCAGGACAATTTGCCCCAAAATGAGTAACAACACAGCCTCAAAAAAATCCATTTTCACAAGGGTGTTCATTAAAGGTATTTTTTCCCTTAAATCCAGAAACGTACAAGAGAGTCCTCCAATAACTTAATTTTCTCAATCACAAATGGAGTCAGGTAGATTTGTAACCTTTGAAGATAATACTGTATATAATAAATCAGATAAAAGTCTTATTCTAGTCTTTTGCACTACCCTACTTATATCTCCTGGACATACATTCAGCCCTTCTG